GACAACTTACCTATAGTGCTGAAGCGATGCGAGGAGGCTAACCTTGTGCTAAACTGGGAGAAATATCACTTTATGGTAACAGAAGGAATTGTGTTGGGTAACAAAATTTCTCGTCATGACATTGAGGTTGATAAGGCCAAGGTGAAAGTGATTGAGAACATGCCGCCACCCACCACTGTGAAGGGCATAAGGAGTTTCCTAGGGCATGCAGGGTTCTATAGGTGTTTCATGAAAGAATTTTCAAAGCCTTTATATGTTTTGCTTCAGAAAAATCAACCGTTTGTGTTCAAAGATGAATGCCTCAGCAAGTTCACAGATATAAAAAAAACTTGCCTCGACACCAATTGTTATTCCACCTGAATATGAAGCCCCTTTCGAGCTCATGTGCGATGCAAATGACTATGCAGTAGGGGCGGTGTTGGGACAAAGAAAAGGGAAAATATTCCATGTAATTTATTATGCTAGCCATATCCTACATGATGCACAACTTAACTACACCACCACTGAAAAATAATTACTTGTTGTGGTATTCACTTTTGATAAGTTTAGGGAATATCTTATAGGCACTAAGGTTATTGTACACAATGATCACTCAGCCATTAAAAACCTAGTGAATAAAAAGGATACTAAGCTTAGGCTTATTAGATGGATACTCTTGTTGCAAGAATTTGATTTAGAGGTAAAGGATATGAAAGGTACCAAGAACCAAGTAGCAGAGCACTTGTCTAGGCTAGAGAACAAAAAAATTGCCATGACATGAAAGAAATCCAGTAGGAATTCCCTTACGAGAAAATATTATTTGCCATGGCAGTGTCTTGGTATGTTGACATAGTTAATTTTCTTGTTGTGGTATTATACCTCAAGATTTATCTTGCCAGGGCCGAAAAAATTTCAGACATGACGTGCACCATGATCATTAGGATGAACCGTTCTTATTCAAAGAATGTGGAGATCAAATAATCCGGAGATACGACCTCGAAGAATAACACAAGGATATTCTATTTCATTGCTATATATCTACGTGTAGAGGGTACTTTGGTTGAATGAGGACTGTTGTAAAGGTCATCCAATCTGGCTTATATTGGCCCACCTTATTCAAGGATGTACAATACTTCTCTAATCATTTCCAATGCACTGGGAATATATCAAAGAGAAATGAGATGCCATGGCAAAATATTTTGGAAGTGGAACTCTTCAATGTATGGGGGATTGATTTATAGGACCCTTCCCATCATTCTTCGGTGATCTATACATATTTTTTGTTGTGGACTACGTATCTAAATGGGTTGAGGCCATGAAAACACCTATAAATGACTCCAATACCGTGCTAAAGTTATTGTACAAAAATATATTCAAAAGTTTTAGAGCACCAAGAGAAATTATTAGTGATGAGGGAAACCACTTTGACAACAAATTAATTGCCAAGGCACTGCAAAGATATGGGGAGCACCACAAAATTGCCATGGCATACCACCCCAGACCAATGGGCAGGTTGAGGTCTCCAATCATGAGATCAAGCAAATACTCGAGAAGGTGGTCAACCATAGAAGAAAATATTGGTCTCCAAAGCTAGATGAGGCATTGTGGTCTTATTGCACAGCGTTTAAAACACTACTAGGGATGTCTCCATTGAAGTTAGTCTATGGCAAGGCATGTCATTTGCCTGTGGAACTAAAACACAAGGCATTTTGGGTCATCAATAAACTTAACATGGATGCACAAATTGCTAGGGAAATGAGGTTGATGGAGTTAAATAAGATGGAAGAATTTTTGAGACCAAATGTATGAGAATGTATGTCTCTACAAGGAAAAGACAAAAAGCTGGCATGATAGGAAAAAAATTTCCACAATAATTTTTTCCTAGCCATCATATACTGCACTACAACTCAAGGCTCAAGTTGTTTCCAGAAAAGCTGAAGTCAAGAAGGTCATGACCTTTCTTATTGCATAATGGGACAACTTTTAAAGTGAATGGACAAAGGTTGAAGGCCTATAATGGAGCACCCATCCTGCGTAACAAGTCGACATTATTACTCTATGACGCCTAAGAGTTTGCCCCTACACTCTGAAAATATTTTTCCTTTCTTTTAATTTGCAATATTTACTTTATATTTATTTTATTTCCTAATTTTGTCTCTTCAACTAAGTATTGACACGTGGCATTTTAGTATTAAGTCTCACAAATTGGAGGAAGCAAAACCCTAGTAATTGGGTTTGGATGACAACTTTAATAAGGAAAAATTTTCCTTTTTACTTTTCCTTAATACTTTATCCTTTTTTAATTTAAAACCATTCAATCAATTATCTTCTCGTTTATTACCCCAACCCCACTTTTTACTTTTTATTTATTAATCATAAAAAACCACCCCACTTACCTACATTTTTCTTAAAAATCACCCACTTTATTTTTCTCTCTCACCGACTCTCCTTCTTCTTTATCATCTTTATCTTTGTTTTCTTCCTTTGATTTTTATTTTTCCTTTAAAATCCTCCATAGTCGCCACATCTAGTTCATATTTTTTTTGCTTTCTCCATTAAAAAATTGTCGCTGCAACAACATGGTTCACTCAAAACCAAACTTTGGACCATCCACCTCATCTGTCGAGGCCACAAACTTCCTGTGTTTTCAAAGTTAGAATTCAAGAGAAAATTTCATGTGTTGCAGGGACGATAGGTTTATCTTGAAGATGGATTTTTGTTTTCTGCTAAGATGAAGAGCCATTTGGGCCTGAGGTAATAGATATTATTAAGAAGAACAGTTGGGATAAATTTGCATGCACACGAAAGTTGTGGAACTGGTGTTAGTCAAGTAGTTTTACGCCCATTTAGGAGACCCCTCTCAGCACTCAGTGTACGTCTGAGGCAAGTTTATTTGGTTTACCCCTCCTCCATCAACCGTTACTTCAAGCTTGACAATGTTAAGAACCACCATCACAAGAAATTTGTTGTTGAGGTAGATTATGAAATGTATGACGGGGTGCTCAAAGATCTGTGTTTTGTCTGGGCAAAATTTTAAGGAAATGCTCCAATCCGTAAGCGAGTTGATCGTTGTTCCTCAAGCCGATCACTAAGCTCTAGAACCATTTCCTCAAGGCAAGTTGATGCCCACATCAATTCCACTGTGTTGTTGAGGTGACTTATGCTACTTCACTCCAAAAATCTATGGACGATCAATTGACGTAGGAGAGATCATCTTCAAGTAATCCATGAGTGTGCCAAGAAGGCTAAAGGTAACTTAATTTTTCCAAAATTTATCACTGGATTATGTAGGAAAAACAAAGTACCTGAGGTGTCCCTGGAGGAATTCATTCAGTCCAAGGAAGGCATTACAAAGAATAAGGTACCAGAGTTTATGACCTTTGATGATGATGCCTCGGGTAAAAGATTGGAGCGCGATGCAAAATTCATTGTCGGGACACAGATGGTTGCTGTGGTGACTGCCACCCAAGAGACAAGAGAGAGGTTGGAGCGTTGGGAGGGCCACATGGAGACCTTCTTTACTTATGTCAAGGTGAGGGGTGACAAGCTTAATGCATTCATCAAGGAGCTATTACCAATCTCCAATGAAGATCTCCCACCTTTCCCTAACGACATCTTGCCGAAACTAACACCAATAGGTAGGCACACATTCTTTTCCTTGGCACAGAATGTTCAGCCTGACACTCCAATCGATACCACCCTACTTGCCATGCACTTTTCTCCGGGGTTCCTGAAGAAAAACAAGGCTAGAATGATGAGCACCTCAGTCCTAAATCCTCATAGAATACTGAGGTGATTCTGCAAGAGTTATTTGAAGAAGAGAATGACCCGGATTATGTTGTTTTTGAGCCAATTATTGAACAACCCACCATCGAGCAAACCACTGAGTAGACCCCTGACCTTAACACTGAACCTACTACCGAGACCGAAGAAAGCTAGCCCTTGGAAGTACCAGGTGAGAGTTCCCCTACTAAGGAGATGCCACGATGAGTTACTCTTTCCAGGACCATGCGTTGCCTCAAACACTCAGCTGGTCGTACTACTACTTCTTCCCCATCACCGCTCAACTATGAAGAGACCAGATCTAACACCCCACACCCTCTCAAGCGATGTCCAACCGAGCATCCAGCAAGGCTGGCCCACCACAATGATGTACCTCACCCCCTTTACATTTGCACAACATTTAGATTAGCTTAGTTTTCATGCATTGAGGACAATGCATCCCTCAAGTTTGGAGAAGGTGTTATATTTCACACTTAGTTTTCATGCATTACCTGGAAACCTTACTTGAATAAATGACAGCCTTAGCACATGAGTAAATGAAAGTAGTCACAGGATAACTCTACTTGACTAGCTAGGGGGTGGAAGGTATCCACCCTTTTATATAGACTGTGGGATGGTAGGTGTCATGGGTTGACTCCCCTGGTAGCGGTGTTAAAAAAATTAAATTATTTAAATTTTCTAAAATTAAATGAACATGAGTTACGCTGTGCTTAATGAATAATTTTATGCCTTAACAAACCAAAAGAACTTAGGAGTTTTCTAAATTTATTAAGCATAAACTAGATACAATTATGCACACACACTAACAAAGGATCATGACCTAGGAAATGGTATTTGCCTTATCGGTTAGTTTGGCATGTTGAGGCCAAACTTGTTGCCGAGGGCTGAAATTTTAAATCACCTAACTGCCCTAAATTCTACCTTGCCTTGACACTCATTTTTCTACTTCTCATTATCAATTGCTTGAGGACAAGCAATAACCTAAGTTTGGTGGTATGATAACTCCATAAAAGACTATATTTTAGGTCTTTTTACTTAAGTTATGATTGTCTAAAAGTCATTGACATAACATTTAATTTGCATATAGATGCATTTAGGACTTTGCTACTTGTGTTGGATAAGTTTTTGATGCGGCAAAGTTTATTTGATTAAATTGATGATGCTGATGAGAATGGTTATATGTTGGTTGTGATGATGCAGGTGATAGGAAATGACCGAGAAAGAATTTATTTGCCAAGAAAAGTTTTGTGCCAAGGCTAAAGGAACTGAAGAAAATGACTATGAGGAATAATTTTTGTCGCAGTAAGTTTTTTCTCGCAAGTCTAACATAGTACGAGACAAAATTACTGACGTCATGTGGCCAGCTGTCCAAGGCACCTCACTTGAACCCCTACCCCTGCTATGGATTTGGGACCACTGTCAACTGCCATTTTATTCACACAATGTGTGTGAATTCAATGGTAGCTTTGGAAATTTCAAGGGCACTAAACCCTAGAAGTTTCCAATATAAATAGCACATTATATCCTCCATAAATGAAGAGACATATACCCTAAAAGAAAGGCTTGAAGAAAGATGGCTACAATAGCTCTTTTCCATCGTTCCCCCTTTCGTCTTTCCTTGGTGCCATCCAGAACTCTGTTAGGGGAGTTTTTCTTCCTCTTGCTCTTCATTTCTTATATTTTATATGCTTGTACTTAATGAATACTTTTTGGGATAATGTTACCCACACCATAATTTATTTTCTATTGCAAATGCTTGGATGATATCTTAATTTATGGTTAATGAATGATTAAGTATGTTTTTGTTAATTTTTGTTTTGTTTGTTTTTTAATCTTTTGCCTTGACACTGTAAGCGCTTTTAAAAGATTGCCTGGTGCCTTAGCAAAATATTCCTAGTCTTTGTAAGAGCTTTCAAAATATAGTTGTTTTTCTAGGAGTTGATACCTAATATCAAGAGAGTTAGGTTAGATCTACGAGAACAAGGGAACTAATCTGGGATGGTGAGGTTCTAATCCGCCTTAGAAATAAGGAGAGGATTTCATGCGACTAAGAGTGATAAATGCTTAAGTAGATAGGCTAGCTCTACTATTTACACTAAGGGGTATTGTCGTAGCAACAGTTTAACAAACCAAGGGTTGCAGTTCACGCTAAGTAGTACTCTCGTAGCAATATTTTGTCAGGTTATGTGCTAGAGATAGTCTTGGAACACTTTAGTAAATCCTTTCAGGCAACATAGTCTTAGTATACTAGATCATCCTAAACATAGATTAATTTATCTCCATAGCAAATCCAACTTAAATGCTCCGTTAGAAGGCTGATTGTGTGAGGTTTTCAGTCAATAGTCAAAACTCAAACATTTTTAGCCTTAGCAAAATCTCAGCTTGCTTAAGATTTTTTCCTCTCTTGGGGATATCTTTAAAAATTTTCAAAAATCTTTGTCTTACTTAAGATTGTTTCTCTTAAAATATAAAATTTATCTTGAAATAAAATTTTATCTCACTTAAGTTAGTTTTCCTTAAAACAAAATTAGTCACACTCGAGACAATTTTTCTTGAAACAAAAATTTTATCTCCCTCAAACATTTTCCGTCTTGCTCGAGACAATTTCTCTCATAACAAAATATTTATCTCCCTTGAGATATTTTCCCTTGAAAACTTTTTGTCTCACTCGAGATAGATTCTCTTGAAACTAAAATTTCATCTCAGTTGAAATATTTTCCCATAAATTTTTTATCTCACTTGAGACAGTTTCACTTGAAACAAAATTTTATCTAGCCTGAGATTGTTTTCCTTAAAACATGATTTCATTATGCTCGATTCCATCACTTAAGTATGTGGATCAACATTATCTCTCTCGAGATAGCTTCCCTCGAAATCAAACATCAAAATCATTTCACTTAAGATTTCATCTCACTTGAGATTGTTTTTCTTAAAATAAAATTGCATATCACTTGAGATTATTGTTCTTAAAAATAATTTTGTCTCGCTTGAGACAATTTCTCATGAAACTCAAACTTTGAGATTGTTTTTTCTTTAAACAAAATTTCATCTCACTTGAGATTGTTTTTCTTAAACCAAATTTCGTCTCGCTTAAGACAGTTTCCATTGAAAATTGAACTTTGAAGATTGCTTCACTCAAAACAAATTTTCATCTTCCTTGAGATGAATATCGTTTTCAGTCTCACTTGAGACAATGTCAAGATAGAACTAGACATAACTGCGTAGTCTTTTTAACTTTGCTCTATTCTTGTTAACACAATAATGGACAAAGAGGGGCAGCTGTAGAAAATCGTTTTGTTTGGTTTTTTAATTTATTATTATTATTATTTCTTTTTCTTTTATTGTAGGCCAATAAAATTATACAAGCCCAAATTAGGCCCAATTACAAAGGAACCAGTAGGCCCAACATTGGGAAACCCTGGCCCAAGTGATTTTGGGGTTTGTTTTAAAACCTTAGGGTTTTCATTAGCTCTAGATGTTGCCGTTGTCAAAGCCTTCGTGCCTCGCCTCCACCATTGTTGGACTGCGTCGATGACTCCCGCGCCACTGTCGTCAGCAACTCCCACTGAATCAAAGTCCAACAGTAAAAAATTAACCAAAGAATAGGAAATCAAATAAGTACCAAAACCTATTAAAATAAATCTAATCCCGGATTTTATGCAACCAACCTGTTATTCAACAATACCTTTTTGTCAACAAACTTCACCAAACCCCCAAAACTATATCAAAAGGGTCCATTTTTTTATCATTGGGGGGAGGAGTTTAGTTTGAACCAGATTAGGGAAGGAGTAAAAAGAAGATAGGGAAACTAAAAAAATAGAGAAAATATCGGAAAAAAATACATGGATGGAACGAAAAAAAAATAAAGGAGAGGGTTTATTGTGCTTTGTTGATTGTTGGAAAGCTTGTAGTTCGCCGGAAATCCCAAACGTTGCAGGAATCTGAGTTGTGCGAATGTAAAGTCCTATATCTAGGCTTTTGAGGTTGTATTCGGGTTTATTTTTTTATTTTTTCGGCAACCGTCGTCGGTGACTGATGGTGGTTACATACGCCAATGATCGACGTCCGACCGATTTATCTTCATCAGTGAGAGACCATATAGAGGGGCTTTTAGAGATTTTCTCTCAAGTTTGGTTTTGAGAAGAGTTGAAATGAAAGGCTTAGTTGATTTTAAGCCTTGATTTTAGGCTTATATATGCTTATTGAAATTACGTGGTTTTGGGGTTAGGCTTTCTGAATCCTTGCATGTGGGTAAACTACTCAATGAGCCATCCAATGTTTGTAACATTTTCATTTTAGTCACTAAATGCAACTTTTAATTTTTTGATTTCAAGCTCTAAAGTTTTTTGTATTTATATTTTAGTCAGTGTGTGTTTTATTTATATGTTTGGGTTAAATATTTGATTTAAGTTGTTAATTTTAGATTTGTTATATTTTAGTACTTCGTTTATTATATATCAGAAAATGCATTTTTTTTTACTTTAGATTTGGTTTGCTGTATAGTCATTTTGTCACTGTTAATTTAATTTTTTCCAATTAAAATGTAAATGATAGATGTCTTATAGGCCCCTGTAATTTCCATTTGCTTTAAATTTGGTCATTTTATATATATATGCATGGTTTTGTTTTAATTTATGTGCTTTGATATATTTTTTATAAGTTGTAGTGTATTAAATATGTCTAAATATATGTATATTTTCATTTGGAATTTATCATGTTTTCCTATTTATATTTATGTATGTATATATATATGTGTGTGTATTGTTTGTAAATAATTTATTTATTTATATTGCATTAATGTGATAAATTATATAATTTGCGTCTATTGTTTTCCTTGTATTAGTATATTGACGTGTAAATAGTATAAAAATGTTTTCTAATTATTTATAATACGTTTATATGTGCGTATATATGTAATCACTATGTTCTTAGGAATTTCCTTTCACATATTAGTTTAGACGTATGACTTTTTTTACTTGACGAGCATGATCCTCGTAAGCATTACTCAACTCGAATAAAATAATTTCACTAAGGGTAATACCCGTTTATTTTGAAATTGTGGTAAGTGATTGTCTTAAGGTATAAGAAGGTCACTTCCGATGTTTCTTTAAACAATTGAACATCCTTATTCTCTCTAGAGGTTGGTAACATAATTAATTATATTTATTTCTTTGTATATACTAGAAATAGATGTTAACTTGTATATGCTTAAAAGGGGTCCTAATTTAAATTACATTTGAATTTATAAGTTTCATTGGAAAGACAACTAATTAATTAACTAGGTACTGATTTAGAGTATTGTAGGGGTGTTAATCCTTCCCACACGTAATCGACTATCGAACCCATATTTTTGGTAACACAAACCTTAAAATTGTTTTTAATTAAAATTAATATTTTATTAAAATGACAAATACGTTTTTGGGTGTCCAATCACACCCTAATCAAATATTGGTTGTGACTCCATGAATCGATTTTATTGTTTTTAAACTCGACTCCCAAATTATTTTAGGTGAACGTTTTTACAAAATCCCGATTTTAAATCGACCAAGATTTTAAAAGGAACGTCTCGACATAAACTACCTAAATTAGGGATATGAAATCATTAAGATATTATTAATAAATACACCCTTAAATAGATAAGGTGAATTCTTCATGTGGGTACCGATACTCCCCCTTGGGTATTGGTACTTCCTCTTCCAGTGGTATTGATACTACCCTCGGTATTGATACCAAATTTGCCTTCAATTTTTGGAAATTAATCTCAATATCAATACTCGCCTGAGAGTATCGATGCTCACATTCCTTAGTATTGAAACTTCCATGAGTACCGATACCAAAATTGCATTCGATGTTTTGAAAAAAATACCCCAGTATCTATAACCCTATGGGGACTATCGATACTCGACCCTCGGTAATAATACTCCCTTGAATACCGATACCAAAATTGTATACTCGAATCTTATTTTGTAACACCCATAACCCGTATAATTATACCTATACAGATTATAGATGTCACCCGAATTTTCGAAAATCATTTCCAATTTCAAAAGTGATTTAAATTTTATTTTCTTAAAATGGTAAATGATATTATAAAAATATCATATCATACGAATTGTGTTTCATTATAACAAATTTAAAACAAAAGATTTTTTTTATAAATAGTAAATAGTGAACAGTACCCGTGAACAGTGAACAATGGGGGTATCGATACCCCTGTAGCAGGGAATCGGTTCCCCTTTAAC